TTCGCTTTTCCCCAGAAACTGTAACTAACTTACGCTCAGCATATCTACAATGCAAAACACAAATCTACTCTCTGGGTGTTGAATAAATACAGATGTACCTGACTAGGCGTTTGCAGCATGGATGCCTGTCGTGGACGCGAAAATCCGGAACATATATATATATATATATATATATATATATATATATATATATATATATATATATGCCGTTTAAGAATATATGAACAGATAGATAGATAGATAGATAGATAGATAGATAGATAGATAGATAGATAGATAGATAGATAGATTTGACCCTGCTGAGTGGCTTTAGACGAAACTCTAGTGTCGGTAAATGAGATAAGCCCTTTGAATATTTATTGATTTATTGATAATTGTTGCTATGGTTACCTATTGTTAAGATTTGGGACCAAATCCTATTGTTCCAGTCTTAGCTTTAAGTGCTTTTATATCAATCCCTTCGTTATTATATTATTATTATGATTGTTGTTATTTCAGCTGTTGTTGTTGTTATTGTTGCTGTTGTTGTTATTAATATGTTTCTATGTGCGTGTGCGTGTGCGTGTCTGCGTGCCGCTCTCACCTCTGTGTGTGTGTGTGTGTGTGTGTGTGTGTGTGTGTGTGTGTGTGTGTGTGTGTGTGTGTGTGTGCAAAGCTGTCATTTGAGAAAAAAGTTAACGTGCTTAGATACATTGAAATGGAGCTTAGTCCATCAGATTTTTTAACTTGTTAATTCTGAAGTGAATTTTCAAAATTTAATCTCAAAATCAACAAACCAAATAACTGAATCAATTACGGCGATATTAGTCCGCTTAAACTGGGCATGTCGAACCCAGAAATTCTTTTCTGAAAAATGCCGTCAAATATTACGAATGCTGGGCGGTTTGTTTTTTTTTTTTTTTTTTTCAATGGTGAGGCAACAATCAATATTTTCAAGAAATCTAAAGATTTAGAGATTAAAGGTCAAAGAGACTGACAGCAATGAACAGTTTTTGTTTTTTGGGGTTTTTTTAACCGGACGATAGAACGGCAACAAACGTTTAAAAATAAAAAAAATAAAGCGATTTTATGCAAATTCCAGGATCATAAGAGGTCACACGAAATAAGGTTGATACAGTTAGAAAATTGAACGACAATTGTTGGAATCTCGTTTTGTGCTTTTGTTTTTTGCTTTTTAGGTGCTCAGCTTTGATTAATGAAAATTTTGTTATAAGTTTACATTAACATTTTTAAGTTTGTAAATTTACAGTTTACATTAAATGATTTCCCACATATATATATATATATATATATATATATATATATATATATATATATATATATTAATTAACAAATCAGAGACCTCGCGAAATAAAATATTACCATGTCTTTCTGAGGTCTCTGATTTGTTAATTAATTATCCTTTGTTCTGTTTATTACTTTGAGCTCTCGGGATTTATATCCTCTCTGGAATTATCCATATGGATTACCAATTAACTTTATCATTATTATATATATATATATATATATATATATATCACAGCCAAACTAGGTATAAGTGACAGGGTATATATAAAGGCGAATTCCCCAATAATCCTTTTTTTAGATTAATAAATCCAACCAACACTGAATTGGGTAAAATAAGCCAAGAATTACTCAAAAACATGTGTGATTCATTAAGGATTGCGACACAAGCCAATCAATGCAAGGATACAAGTGGGGGTGCATTTCTTGGTTCCACAAAATTAAAAATAAAGATAAATATGTTTTTATAGAATACAGTCTAAAACAAAAAAAAACTTTTACCCATCTATATCTAAGAAATTCTGCTTGAGGCTTTGTATTTCACCAAAGGCTCCGCAAATGCAACACCTGAACAAATGCACATAATTTTATATTGCCATAAATCAATTTTATCCCACAATGGAGAAGCTTCGATGTACAACAAGGTTCGTTTTATGGTGCTGAGGTTTCAGAATTAATAGGCCTATATATTTTATATGAAAACAACAAAATTGTACATATAAACAACTACGGCCTGTATAGGGGTGACGGGATGAATAGTGCCAGACAACGGAAGAACAAATTACAATATAAGAAAAGCACTTTTCAAACTTTTTAAAAGCCTCGAGTTTGAAATAGGAGTCGATGTGAATAAGGAAATTGTCAAACATTTGAACGTAGAATTAAATCTGCAAACTGGCAGTGTCTCCCCATACATGAAACCCAACACAAAATTAAAATATGTGAATGTTAGATCCAACCACCCTGCGAGTATAATAATGCAAATCGCCAAAGTAATAGCGTTTAGATTATCTAGAAATTCCTCTAGTAAAATAATTTTCGAAAATAAAAAAAAAAGAATACGGAAGATCTTTAAAAGGAGCGAGGCATAAAAACAAACTGAAATTTAAACTTCAAATAAAACAACAAATGAAGACAATTCGAGGAAAAGAAAAAATTATTTGGTTTAACCCCACCCCTTTTAATTAAGAGATAAAGTGCAAAATAGGGAAAATATATTTTCAAATTACTTAATAAACACTTCCCCCAAAATTCCGAATTATATAAAATACTTAATAAAAACATATTTAAATTAAGCTACAACTGTAATAGTAATTTAAAAACCACAATAAAAAGACAAAACGCCAGAAATTTCAAAACTAACGTGCAGTATAACATCGGTAAAAGTGAAATATGCAATTGTAGAAATAAAAATAGATGTCCATTAAATGAAGTTTGTAAAACTGAAGCAGTAATTTACAAAGCAGAAGTAACATATACAAATGGCCAGAAAATATATACATATTGATACTGAGGGTAAGTTTTAAAAGAGGTGGTACATTTATATCATCTTTTAAACTGGAAAGCCTTAAAAATTCTACTAAACTAGCCAACCATGTGTGGAAATCAAAGGAAAAAATATAAAAGATCCGATTGTAAACTGGAAATTTTTTTAAAAAATCATCGCAACACCTGTAACATTTGTCAACAAGAAAAAATAGCTGTAAAACATTTCCAGACCAAAAAGATTTTTTGACTCAGAGATAGGAATTATGACCCGTTGTATACATACCAAAAAGTTGCTTTTGAATTCATATGAAGTGGGATGAAAAGAAAGTGTTTATATTTCCTTTAATCCCCAAACGATACATTTCCAATGCACTTGATTTTCACCTTCTCATCACCTTCTACCATACCTCACGTCGTGCGCTTATTCATTTATTTTTTTTAAATAAAGCGTTCATAAATTCTTTTTATTTTAAAAAAATTAACGCGTTAGGAAATCAATTGACTGAAATCGCCTGAAGATATCGAAAGGTTGAAACAAAAGTAGCACTCTTTTAATACTACTGTTTCCTGGTCTCTTTTTATTATATATATATATATATATATATATATATATATATATATATATATATTATTTATAAAAAATGATAACATAAGTATGTTATAAAATCACTAAAAAAAAGCCATTTTTTTTTTACAACATCAGTGTCTTATCAAGTGATGATGTTGAAGATAAAAAAACAAAATGGCTATTTTTTTTGATTTTATAACATACTTATGTTATAATTTTTTGTAAATAATAATTATATCTGCTCTACTTTGTATTGACCACTCTTTTAAGAATAGTAATTGTTGGTTATTGGAATTCATTCCGTATATACCAATTATATACTTGGGTATATATATATATATATATATATATATATATATATATATATATATATATATATATATGGGGGATATTCACTTTAATTAATATTTACGCATAAGATAGATAATGCATTGTATAGATAGATAGATAGATAGATAGATAGATAGATAGATAGATAGATAATGCATTGTATAGATAGATAGATAGATAGATAGATAGATAGATAGATAGATAGATAGATAGATAGATAAGTATAAGTTAAAAACTTTTCTATAGTTGCGTTCACACTTTTCACTAAAATCTTTTTTTAAATTGTTTTAAAATACAAATACACGCGCGTAAATCGATTTTATGATGAATATCAACTTTTGTAGTCATCAGTTACCTCCCTTGCTACAACTCATTTTACAATTTAAGGTGGATAGCGTCAGGCAATGTCTTCTGAAATTACTTCTGGGGAAAGCGTAACAAAAAGAAAGAAATTCATATCGGTTCTTCTCTTGCAATTATTTAAAAAAAAAATAATGACTTACTTGCAAATGACGAGTAAAACCAAACTGTTTCCGAAAATGGACATAAACAATGAAATACACATTACTACTCCAGTCCCGATGTGGTAATCCGAAGAAATTGAGCTGATGTTGGTCCAGAATGGATGAACTAGGCTTTTACCGCGACTGTAATCTGTATAATTCAATGAACCAGAAAAGGACTCTTCTTTCTCGTTCGCCCCATTCAGGGGCATGGTGAAGTTTGGTTTAATTTGATTTCTATAATTTTTTGTAATTTTTTTTTTCAGTTGTATATCTTTTATTCAAGGAATTTTGTTTTTTACAATTTTTTTTACTTATATTTTTTTATTACTATAAATTATACAACTATAAAAAGTTGTAGAAATACTACTGGCGGCTGTAAAGTTTTTTTCTTTTTTTTTTAAGATATGTCTTTAAAAATAGTATCACATTTTATTTATCTCTTTGACAACTTTTTCAAAGCGATAATAAATAATTCTCTGTCCAATCTGCCGGAAAATTCGCACAACTCTACATATACTCGATATGTAAATTTCATATTATATACATACATACATATTTATAAATTATATATATATATATATATATATATATATATATATATATATATATATATATATATATATATATATATATATATATATATATATATATATATATATATATATATATATATATATATATATATTTATTTATATATTTACAGGAATTTTTTTTTTATTTTTTATTTATTTTGAGATTTAAAAACAACCGAATATAAAAACCGCTTAAAATACATCCATTTTTCTACCGCTGTATATAGGTCGGAAGACTGCGTAAGTAAAGAGATGTATATTTATGCATTTCCGTTAAAAATTGATGCAGATATGTCATCTGTACATGACCAAGAGACGTGTATGTTTTCTCCATGAGTGTTTGTTGATATAATAACGAGAACAACGTAGGCGTGCTTATGTGAATACACTACCATAACGCAGCGAATGCGTTTGTCTGCGCACGTGTGTGTGCGTGTGTGTGTGTGTATGCGCGCTGTATGTATGTGTGGCAAGCGATTCTTGTGTCACGGTTTGAGCATGTGCAGTAATAAAAAGCGTGTAGACGGGCAAACAAAAACTTCGTTCTGCCTATTAGTGTGTTGTTTCATGATCAGCTGTGGTTACCTCATTAAAGAATGCAGTTAACAGTTTAACGAGGTTTATAATGCCGGCTGCAAAAACCTGTGCGGGTTTTTTTTTTGTTTTGTTTTTTTTGTTTGTTTGTTTGTTTTTTTTACTATCTCCAAAACGAAACCACAACGCGTGAGGGACGACGCCGCTGTTGTCGGCACACGAACACGTTGTAAGGCGAATACTCAGACTTTTCACACATGCTGTTTATCCAAAATTGAACGAATAAATGCGGGTATGCGGCCAGATGAAATAATGAAACCTCGTTGCGATTGAAGTTAATCTCTCTCTCTATTTCGCTTACTCTCTCTCTCTCTCTTTCTCTCTCTTTCTTCTTTCTCTGCTTTCCCTGTTCCTCTCTCTATATTTCCTCTCTCTATTACTCCATCTCTCTCTCCCCGCTCTCTTTCTTTCTCCCTGTGTCTATCTTGCTCTCTCTCTGTTCTCTCTCTCGCCCGATCTGATCTTCCTCTCTCTGTCTACCTCTCCTCCATTCTCTCTCTCTCTCTCTCTCTACGCTGTCTCTTTCTCTCTCCCTCTTTCTCTCTCTCTCTCTCTCTGTTCTTTTCTCTCCCCTCTTCCTCTCTCTCAACTCTTTCTTTCTCTCCCTTCTTCTCTCTATTTGCTGCTATCGCTTCCCCTCTCTCTTTCTCCCTTCCGCTTTCTCTCCTTCTTTCCCCCCTCTCCCTCTTTCCTTATGTCTATCTCCGTCCTCAATCTATCTTCATTTCTGTCTCCTCTCTCTCTCTCTCTCTCTCTCTTTCTCTCACTCACTCACTCACTCACTCACTCACTCTGTGTATATATACATATGTATATTAATTTGTCATTTCTTTAAAAATATTTTGCATCGCTTGTATTTTGTGAACTATTTCCAAAACTAAAGGAATTTTCCGAAATTAAAATCTTATTCATTTAAGCAACAAAAGAAAGGAAGTGATGGAGAGTCATGATCACCCATGTCATGAGATGGGACAGTGTATATAAAAGTAGATTCATTTAAGAAAGGACTTTATACCGTCGTTCGCAATGTTAACCTGCTACGTCTCTTTTGTTCTACAGAACGAATATTACTTGTTGCCGAAGTAGCTGCAATTAATAATCGTAGTAGTGGTAAAATAACTTGTATACGCTACTAAAACATTAGTTTTTATTTGTGCTTGAAGGTGGCGGAGAAATGGAAAGAAAAAGGAAATATATTGAAAGTAAAAAAAAAAAAAATGATGAATGAATGATTCTGGTTTTGATAAACAGCCGAGATGGAAACAAATTTCTCTTTCAAGTCAACTTCAACGAACGAGGAAGGACGATGGTAGGTGGCTAAGAGGAATGATTTTAAATAAGTGGGCAAGGCTTGGCCGCTGGAATCACTCCTCCGTCATTGAATAAAAAGGCGCTGACTTCTCTGAGTGCTGAATAAAGTAGAAATTGCTGACTGAAATAATAATAATCATAATAATAATAATAAATAATAATAATAATAATAATAATAAAATTTGCTATCATCCTTACCTGTTTTTCCTTTTCTCTTGTTTTTCTTTTTCTCCTCTTCTTTTCTTTTCTTTTCTTTTGCTTTATTCTTTTTCTTCTCCCATTTTCTTTTCTTTTTCACTTTTTATTCTTCTTTTTCTTTTCTCGTCTTACTTTTTTCTTTGTATCTTTTCCTTCTTTTCTTCTTTTTTCCTCTTGTTCTTTATTGTGTCTTCCTTTCTTATTTTTTAGTCATTTCTTTTCCCCTTTCTATTTTTCTTTGCCTTTCTTTTTCTTTTTTCCTTTCTTATTTTTTTCATTTCTTTCTTTTTATTCTTTTTCTTTTCGTTCTTTTTATTGTTCTTTTTCTTGTCTCCTTTTTCTTCTTTTCCGTTTCTCCTTTGCTTTCCTTTTTCTCTTTTTTCTTTTCTTCTTTTCCTTCTTTTCTTCATTCTTACTTCTTTTAATCTTGTTCTTTTTTGTTTCTCCTTTTCTGTGTTTCCTTCTTTTTCTTCTTGTCTTCATATTTCTTCTTTTATTCTTATTCTTTTTCTTTCCTTCTTTTCTTCTTTTCCTTTTTTCTTTTTCCTCTTTTTAGTTTCTCTTTTCTTCTTTTTATACTTTATCCTTTAAATTTTTCTTCTTTTTTTTCGTGTTCTTTTTCTTCTTTCCCGCTTCTTCCTTTCTTCTATTTTCTACTTTTTCTTCTTCTCCGTCTTCTTCATTACGATCCACCTCTGCTAGTACTACCAATACATTATACTTATCTAATGCATTATCATATCTAACGCCGCTAGTAGTCATTACTGGATATCGAATGACAAAAAGTCCGCAATTCTTCATGCTATCCTAGTAGATTTGAATAGTTCCATGACAGGAAGGGTTCCAAGTCTTCAAATTACCAACTCATCCTCCAATATCTTTTCGTGGATCTTTCATGATGTTTTGAGTGCATCAGTAATTATGGCAACTACTTTCAGTCTCATGGTCCACAACATTTGTAGTTCTTCTTTCAAGTCCTGATTTACGACTAGGAATTATTATTACTCTAGTCAATTGTTTCTTTCTACCATTGGGTTACAGAGGCGATCAAGTGACAGCAAATCTTCTCAATACTCCAGCCACTCACTTGAGTATTCTAATTTATTTTAGTAAAAAAATCGTTTGAATTGCTGCAATTCTCCCTCAGACTGAATTTTATTTATTTGTTTTTATTTCCTTTTTTTTTTCTTTTTTTTTTCCAATTCATTTTGCAGTGCTCTTCCAAATTATTCCAAACTAGCCAATAGTTTTTTGTTATGTTTTTTTTTTTAATCCTGTCACCCTATGCAAGGAAGTAAAGCCACTAAGAGACATTAAGTACTGAGTCCGAAAGAATAAGAAAAACAGAGAAACATTATTAAAGCCCTAGAAAAATAGAAGCGTAATAAGGAAGACGGCAGATAATGATTGACATTGCGTTTAAATTTTTGAAGATCAAAATCAACTGGATAGCATGGAGAGAGTTCCACAAGCAAGAAGTGTGAGAGAAGAAATTGTTAGCATAGAACTTACGGTTACATCTAGCAATTTTAACTGTGAACTGATGACTTTGCTGCTTAAATTCATAAATTCTACGTACCATAGCGAAGATCGATATTTATTTCCGCCTCAAATACAGAAAAAAATGGCGGAATGAGGAAAAGGAAGGTCTTCTACCATAGCGAAGAGCTCATTCGAACAATTACCATGAAAGTATTTATAGAAAAAGCACTGGGATAATATTTTACGGCGGTGGGAAAGTGACTGAAGCCCAGATACCAGGTCGGTACCAATAACATTGCAGATTCTTCTTTGGATTTTGTCTATCCAAATATAGAGTAGTAGCATCAGATCATATATGGCAGCAATATTCAAACCTTGGACGAATAATAGACTTAAAAATGTGTAACATAGATTCAAGAGAGAAATATTGTCTAGCAAGGCACAATGAGTCAACTTTCTTAACGGCAGACCTAGCAATGGATTCAATGTAACAATGTATCAAGAATGTTAGTCCGTGAAAGCGCAACAAGTTCCTCTCATTAAGGTTAACATCAACCATGATGATGGGAAGCAGGAAGAAGACTTTCAGGTAATTGATAGAGAGAGGTTTCGTTTTGGAGGCGTTAAAATTAACAAGCCACTCCTTGCCCCAGTTAACAACAAAATGAAGGCGAAACGAATCTTCTGGTGGTTATCATCAGTCATGATGATGGGAAATAGGAAAAGGACTTTCAGGTGATTGATAGAGAGAGGTTTCGTTTTAGAGGCGTTAAAATTAACAAGCCACTCCTTGCCCCAGTTAACAACAAAATAAAGGCGAAACAAATCTTCTGGTGGTTTAGTCAGTCATGCTGATGGGAAGCAGGTTCGGTATTTTCAGGTGATTGATAGAGAGAGGTTTCGTTTTGGAGGCGTTAAAATTAACAAGCCACTCCTAGTCCCGGTTAACATTTTTGGGAAATACTATTTTGCGTCGTTCATGTGAAACCGCAACTTTAAAACCAGGTGCAATACCACGGTTCCAAAATCGACATACCCTACTGCAGATAGCAAAGGTTTTTTTCTCCACTGGGCCATGTGTCTTTGAGGACAACAGTCCGAACAATGTAAATAATTTAAATCATTATAATACCTCATCTCCAAAATATAGACAGATAAGTAAATTTATTTCTCTTCAAAATTTCGTGCGATGATTGATAAGTAAGGTCTCCAGTTTTATAAAACATTTTTTTTAGACTCGATAGAATAATGAACCTGGTATCAAAATGAAGGAAATTTATTTCTCTTTAAAATTATGAAGGCTGGTTTCAACGCTTACTTGCTAAGGTCTCCAATCCCGTGAAACAATATTTAGACCAGATATAAAGAATCTAGCACAAATAGGGAATTAAATTATTTATCTTCAAGTTTATCGTTCAAAATAATGACTGTTTAGTGTCGCCTATCTTATTCAAATGATATATCCTATTTTTCAACGCGTCTATGAAGAATTTTTCAGCTTCACTTGTGATTCAAATGCGATAAGCAACGTTATTTCAGACAATGGGTGATATCATCTTGTGCTTTCAATGACTCTTTGACCATTGGGAATCACCGGATATCTGGTGGCAGAATATCGAACTGTACAAAAGATTTGTTAATTTTCGCTTACTCGCCGTCTGCTCCGATTATTGATAGAAATGGGGCCTTAGTTCTTGTGATGCACAAAAAAAAATAGTGTTCTCTTTTCAGACCTTATTTTATGCGATGTTTGAATGCTCACATGCTTTCATGGTTTTCATATAACTGAGAATTTCGATTCTTGCGTAACATTCTAACGCCAAAATTCTTACCAGTATTCCTTATAATTCAACGCCATCAGACAAAAATCCGGCAAAGAGTTTAAATAATATTGTCTATAGTATCGAATACATGTTTCTCTCTCCAATATTAGGATTTTACCCCAATGCAAGGCCCAAAATTCGATCAAATATAAGTTTGATGGGGTTTTTTTGGGGGGGGGGGTTGTTTAACGGCAAATCAACTCGTTCAAGAAATTGTCGGATATTATATGGACTAATGTCATGAAAATGTTCTTTCATGTTGGATTTTTGGTTGATTTTGTTTAGTGGTTGTCATATACTGTGGCTATGAACACTAATGGGTATGTTCAAATCCTCATAAATACGTTGGACACTAGTGTAAGTGGGGGTAATATGATGTATAAGTAGTCCACCACTAGCAGTTGTTTACCTACTTCACGCCGCTGGTGAGTATTGTATTTTGTTGATGTTATAAAGATTACCATTTCATTTCCAACATCCGTTTTGGTTATTCCTCATTCAGTAATCCTTTCCTAGGTTACAACTGTGGCATATCAACCTCAATTTTGAACGTATTTTTATGCGTTTAACTGCAGATATTTTATACTTTCAGAGTAAAGGTATGTTTTTAGATATATATTTTGTAGATATTGTTGGTAATTTTTCAAAAATTGCACTGGTTGTGGGGGACTGGCTTTTAACTTTCAACGCCCCAAATATCTATGCTGATGATGCGACTATATAAAGGGCGCACCTCTAAAAGTCTTGATGGTCAGAGATTGGTAAATGATCTCTCTTCCAATCTAGCGTAAATTACCCAGTGGGGTATAAACTGACTGGTTACATTCAGTGCTTCGATTACCAAACTAATTACATTCCATCATCGCCGATCAGATCCCGGACTACCGCGAATCATTGTGAGCGGATATTTCCTCGAGGAGGTAGCGTGCCTTGAAAGACGATTGGGCCTCAAACTCGCACATCACCTCAAGTGGAACTCGTCCAAATGATCCATTGCTAAGGATGCAAATGAAACGGTCGGCTCACTGTACCTGACTTCTCCTTCTATCCTATAACTTTACAAGAGCCAGTTCAGACCGAGAATGGAGCACTGTTTTCATATTTAGGCGGGAGCTACCCAATCCTCACTCTCCAGCCTTGATAGAGTTCAAAATTATCTCCGGGCCCTTATAGGTGACGAATTATTCACCACCCTTCAACCTTTCTCTCACAGGCGGGATGTGGCCAGCCACTCGCTGCTTTGTCGCTACTTCCACTGAAAGTACTCTGGTT